TTTTGTTAAATTATAGGACTAAAGCTGTTACCTGTAAATTTAAATCATGTTTTTATTAAGTACTCGGTATCGGTATCGGCGACTACTGAAATGCAAGTACTAGTACTCGTTTCCAAAAAAGTGGTATCGGTGCATCCCTACATTGGGATCCATACATTTCCTTTTTCATCCACATAACACAATCTGTGGCTCTGACTCCAAAACTCAGCATGGTAGCACCAAAAACATGCAAAACAAATCTGTGAATCACTCAGGACTGGAAAACGAGAGCCTTTTTGTAGTTTTTTCTCTGGTTTAAATACCCAGTTGGGTACAAACGGTCAAGATGGGACTGAAGTGCACAGTTTTAGTTTTAATTTAAGGAGCTTTACTTTTTTTTCATTAACTGTTTGGAATTACAGCCATTTTCAGAGTCATAAAAACAATTTGACACGTTCACATGTATCACATTTCTTTGAAAATAATCGAAGATTACTCATGACTTAGTTCTATTAATAATTAGGGTCGTGGATCACCCCGTGCGTAGGGCTGGACAGCGCTAACACATTAATGACGTAACGCGTTGACGGAGATTTTCCATGTTAATGTGGTTAATGTGGTTAATGTGGTTATAGCGTTAACATCATTTTAATGAGATTAACGCTGACAGTACTAGTAAATAGTAGTAGTATGCTTCTACCTTCACTTACACACAGAGTCTATTAAGGATATATAATTATTTTATTTTATCTTATTAAATATTTTTGTTTCTGATAGTTTAAAATGTGTACTTTAGATTGTTTTACCCCTCATCAGGTATCTCCCAGATAGCAGCAAATGTCTCATTGTGCAGTGGCAACAAGGTTTTTCTGTTTTCTGTGAACTGTTGGTCAGAAAGAATATTCATTGTTAAATATCACAGTCATCACATTTAATCCTTGCTTCGCATAACAAATGAACACTCAAGCACATATTTCTAATATGTGTTCCCAACTGGATTTACTGATATACAAGTTTCCAGTTCTTTACAAGGATGTCTGTAAAGATTACTCATGAAATCTGATGAAAAACATAGCAACTAAACCATCATTTGAAGTGAATTTACCTCAATTGTTTCAGGAAGCTCCGTGCAGCAAAAAGAACAAAGAGAAGTAAAAGTTTAGAGGTTTTATACTGCATCAGAGGAGGGACTGATGTTCTGTGGTCACATGATTTCATGGACCTACTCACTCCTCCCTCCTGTCAGTTTCTAATCTTCCCTGTTTTTCTTGTTCTTCTTCCAACTGAGCGACAGAAAAACACATGCCATACATATGACAGGATCTTTTGCAAAAGAAGGCAAAACCAAACGTGGTAATGTCAGGTTCGGCTGTGTGGCAGGCAGGTTTAGAACCCAAAGGCAGGACTCCAAAAGCACAAAGTAAAACTCAAAAACAGCTTTATTGGTGAGATTTCCCAGAACACAAGAAAAACAGGTCTAGTGTAAATATTCTGGAACTGTAACACACAAGGAAGTACACAACCATAAGGGAAGACACGACCAAGAACAAAGGGAGACAGAGACAATAATGCATGGTCCTTGTTCATGTGACCCAGTTTTCTTTATTTGAGGAACATGGTTGTTTGTACAAGTTTTCATAATATTTCCTAAATGTTTCTTCTATTGCTTCCTGGCTATACTGTAAGATATTTGTACTGTAGATGGGTCGCTAATCTTGTGAATTCTATTAGCAGCTTGCTGCTGTCTAAGACGCCGTGCTAACAGTCTAGCTGCCTTTGGGCCGTTGTCATAATAATCTTGTTTTTTGTTTGTTTGTTTGTTTGTCAGATGTTTTTTTCCCCACTTCTTCAGTCAATATATTGTCAATTTCCTTTTTTAGTGTTTTGATTTTGTCTTGGAGCTGAACATTCTGAGTAGTTCGGTATAATATTTCCGTGTTTTTCAACTCTTTCACCCGGCTTAGGTACAGGGCCTTCCTCATTTGGTGTTGTTTTGAAGTTATGGCAATAAGCTTCCCTCTGAGTACAGCTTTGAATGCATCCCAAAACACAGTTGGGCTAATTTCTTCTGTGGAATTTTCCTCTATGTATTGTTTTATGTCTTTCTTGATTTGGTCCTTCATTTGTGTTTTTATTCAGACAGCTCAGATTTAACCTCCAACAGGTGTTTCTATGCCTAGTATTTAGATTTAGTTTTAAATGAATGGCACAATGATCAGAAATATCCGCCATTCCAATTGTGCATTCAGTTACTCTATGTAGATCCCATCTGTTCATTAAGACATATTCAATTCTTGAGTAAGTGTTGTGAGTCTTTGAGTTGTGTGTATACTCCTTATCCAGCGGGTGATGTTCCCTCCATACATCTACCATTCCCTGCTCTTTCATAAAGGTATTAACCATTCTCGCCAGGCTATTTTTGCTTCTATTTGTGCTTGTTGTATCAATTCTGTGGTCGAACGCTACAAAGTCTCCTGCACACAGCACTGTCCCTTCAGATTCTCACATGACTGTTTTAAGTAGAGTCTTCACATTTTGTTGGTTGCTCTCAGGGGGAATATAGAGATTGATTAGTGTCACCGCCTCCCCTTCTAGTTTACCTCTTACAATAATGTATCTCCCCTCACTGTCCCAAATTTCTTTAGAACATTAAAAATTAACTGAATTTTTTAATAAGTATTGCTACCCTCCTTTTACGACTTTTTTTTGCAAGTACTACAGTAAGAATTTCTGAACCCAAATTTCTTTAACCCTTTAAACATTAGTATTGTGAAGCCTTTACTTTGAAAGATGTTTCCAGGCTAGCAAAGTGTGTTCTTTTTGTTATGTTTTGTTATGTTATGTTATGCAAAGTCTTTAGTCTCTGATCAAAGCAGCTCTGATCTCATCCAGACTGTTTGATACAGAAATCTTCTTGATTGATGCTGTGAAAACAGTTCCAGTGCGACCCCTACAGCCTCTCCTTCTCTTCCTGTGGAGGCTTCAACATTATGTGCTCTTCTAAACTAGAGATAATCCATCACTATACTTCATTGCAGATAATAACTGGAAGTTCATGTTTCCAAGAAGGAAAGATGAAGCAGTCCTGAAGCTCAGATTTGTTCAACTGACTGACTGAACATGAACTCTTGGACTCTGAACCTGTGCAATGTGGAGATTAGAAAATTATTTTACTGTTACTATTCATAACCATTATCATTACTATTACATTACTTATCATTTATCATTATCATTTCATCAAAGCATTTATTGAAGCTGTTGATGTTACATTAAAGTCTGTATTTCAGGTGTTAGCATAATCACATAATAATCTTTCATTGCAGGTGTAATCATGTTATACACATTGCATTTTTGTGCTTATTAAAGAGTTGAAGCTCAGTCAGTTAATTGATGGTCAGAAGCTTTGGGCGGCGCGACGTCCAGCCGATCTATTGAGTAAGGTGGCCCAGAGCTATGGAAGAATTGCATACATGCTTACAATATATATATATATATATATATATATATATATAAACTCATTTCACCTCAGCGGTAAGTGTCCTTAATATCTACCACAAACAACCTTTTGGTTGTCAGTGAGCAGTCGATCGTTTCCGCGATCATTATTTTACACTGTATTTTTATTATTTGCATTTTTATGCACATTTTATGTTATCTATCTAGGTACAAAAATGTGCAAAAAGTATAAAAATATTAGCTTCCTTTCTTTATTTCAGTAGTTTGAAGTACCTCTAACTCTGCACTCCCACAATATGTGATCAAAATAAA